GCATTTGAATGTGGATTTTTATTTTAAATTCGACGAATATTCGAAATTCGAATTTTTTTTTTTTTTTGACAGCCCTAATTCTGATATGCACACCATTTTAGTGACCACTGAATGCTGAATGGTGTAGCCTGAATATTATATGTAAGTCACTTTTCTAGATCTTGTTTGTGGCTTGTGGTCCCCCAGGCTCTCTTCATATCAACATCTTATGTGATTTGACAGTCAATGGGCGAAACGCAAACTGATTCCCTACATGTTCATGAAAGCAGGTCAGATGTAATCCAGTGGAATAGCCTGCTCTTGTGTGTGTGTGTGTGTTTTTTTTTTTTTTTTCCAGGTGTATTCATACTCTGATCTGGGTTAGAGGGTTAGTCCAGAGAGCAGCTTCAAGTTAGGTCACAGTATGCATGTGAAAGGTTTACGTTGTATTCGCTCCTCCTCTTAATTTTTCCCTCTTTATTTAGTTTTCAGTGGGTTCTGCAGAGCACATAATTTCACTTGGTGGTCTTAATGTTTTCATAGACCTGCCCAGGAATCATATGGTGTTCTGTTTGGTTGATGGATTGCTGTCATGTGACTAATTTAACAGCCTTAGGGGTTATGCTGATGTTTGTTCATAGAAGTACCATTGTCATATTTGGCTTAGCAGGGCTCATTTGAGCTTGCTTTTAATCTGGAATAAGCTTCTTAAGGCAGCTGTGAGAAACCATCTCTTGCAGAATTGTGCGTGTTTCAAGCCTCACCACATTTCCATGCTTGACAGTCAGGGATTCTCCAAAAAAGGAAGAGGATGATGATTTTTAGAAGATGAAGAGCACATAGTTTTGGATCTCAGCATTTTAAACCTGTTTTTTGGCTGTTGTCTTACATTATGGACTAAACCACCCTTGAGATGAAGTTGAATTTGCCTTATTTTGTTTATTTTGTATGAAATGTTAGTCGTGCTGGAGTTGTATCTGTTTGTCTGTTGACATGGCTTATGTTTAAAGCCCAGCACAATGCTGATTCTGTGTACCTGCTATCTCATCCTGATGTACGTTTCCCTCTACCTGTCTCTCAACCTCTGGCGCAGCTTGCTCACTTTAGACGGCGCCGGGCAAAAAGCGAAAGTTCGAGCACGCAGAAAAAGACGCCGAAGAGGAAGGGCCAGACTGTCCAAATGGATGAACGGTCAGCGCAAGAGCGCCACCTAGAGGAGCCGCAGACAGACGATTGTCATGGAGAGATCAACAAGGAACCCTCAGAGGTTTGCTTTTAATTTTAAAGGGGCTATATGTTAGAATTTTCATGTCTTAATCACTTTTTTTTTGTCAATG